AGCTTTAAAGTAAAATTCAAGCTCTTTTGGCAGGGTTTTATTTGCCCCCCTAATTCCCTAATCTCTTAATTATTTAACTACTAGTTTTTGTGCTCTGTTTTAGTCTTAAGATATTTCGTTAAATATTTGTCACGGGTAAGCGTTTNTTTTATTAATCAAACATTTCTCAGCGATGGAAGGTGTTTAATGTTTTATTAAGTGTCATTTATTTATCCATAAACCTGGTTTTGGGTTTAAATAAAAGCTTTTTCATTCTTATAATAAAATGCATACAAAAAATTATGAAATGGAACTCGAAGGTTATATATCTTTCAATAAAAAGAAAACATTCGTCCTCGCAGCGATTCGATCTAGCCCTCTTGCAGTGATTGCAGTGCCCCTGGTGATAAAATTTGTCTCTAGTTGATTTTAGCAACGAGCGAAGATAGGAACTCGAAAGACCAGTTAATCTTCCGACTCTGGTTACAACATAAGAACATTAACTGTTGGAACAAATATTAAAATCATTGACTCACATAAAAGAAATTCTAAAAATAATCAGTAATGCCTTACAAAATGAAAACATTAACACAAGCCAAACTTCCAACAAAGCTGTTTTAAACAGTTTTAAAAGAACATTTTTGTCTAGTTTTGTTTAAAATGTAATCTTAATATCAATTCTTTTCTGTTTAATTTTCCTGCACTTATTTTATTATTACTGGACAAAGGAAATTAGTTGTAAAATAAAAATGACAAAGCATATTTATTTATTTTTAAATGTAATTTACATAATTAAAACAGTTTGTAAATGCCTGCAATTGAATTACAGGGGTGGGCACTGAGTACAGGATGATGTGTTTGTTAATATGTGGATTAAAAGTTATTTGATATTTTAAATTTTATAAAAATGTTAGTTTAATTAATGTAAAAAGAATTTCTACAGTACACAGTTTAAAAAATAAAGCAAAAAGGGAATGATGTCTAAAAATAAGGGAATGACATCAAAAGGTAAGTGTTATTAAAATTGTTTTGAACTGTAAAAATGACTAATTAAATACTTAATGAAATTTATCACAAATGCATGTTTCCTAACATGCACCCTAATTATGCCTCATTTAATTCATCAGACCATTGACTGTGTGAAATAGGAAATTTTAACATTTGGCATTTAAATGCAAATTATCACATACAGTCTGCAGGGCACAGTTTGACAAGAAACTGTGCCCTGCAGACTGTATGTGCACTGCTGCAAAGTGCACTGCTTTCAGGTAGATCCCTATACAAGTACTTGAAACATTGCTCATCAGCTTGGGTCAATCAACAACTAGTATGAAATGTTTTGCATGAGCAAGTGCTTAACAGTGGCGTGCCGTGACATTTGATGACAGGAAAGCCGTGTTTCTGTAAGAAGCCGACTTCCAGGGGCTGATTGCCCCTAGAAGTCGGCTTCTTACAGAAACACGTCAGTGATGGTCTAGGGTCCATTCGTATTCATTTGTTCGATAAGCCAGTAAAAACCATAACTTCTCTAAATGTATTTTTAATAGATTATCTGACGTACTTAATAAATAAACAAGTTCAATATAATTACTCCTGTTATTAGATTTGATAGATTTCCTATGCCTCTAAATACCAATTCTTGCTTTGATAAAAAACATATAACATCTATTAATTTAGATATAATATATCTATTAGCCTTAACTATCTTGTTATAATTTTCAATATTTATTTTATATTATTTACTAATGTTAAATTCTATTCTTCTTTAATTTCCAAATTGCTTCAATTTTACAAAAGAATTGATGCAACATTTACAGTTTTCATGTCTTTTGCCAGCTTTACTCAAACTATTTAAATCATCAAAGCCATTCTTATTCCACACACTAATTTTATTTCAAAATAGTAGGCAAGGCTGACAAAACAATTTTTGCATTTTTATGCATCCACAAAGCCATTTTATGTCTTCATAAATTTTATCACGAAAATGTCGAACAAATTTTTATTTAAGTAATTATATTTAATTTAGGCATTGGCCTTTCTCTTTTAATAATGTTTTCTTTTTCATTATATGGTCATGAGCCAGAAGTTTTTAAAATAAATTTTCAATATTGCAATTACATTCAGCTAGCCATGATATAAGGGCTAAAATTAAAACTTACTTGTGTGGTGGATATACATACCTGATACAAAATATTCTTCAATTGTATGAATATATTTTTAAAGAAAATTATAATTAAATATAGCTTTGTAAAGAAATGTACATAAAAATAACCTAAAATCTTCTTTACTTTTTAAATCTTAAAACAATCCACTTAGTCAAATACCTCCCTATGAGTGGAATCAAAGATGGACCTGCTAGGTGTGCCATGCATGCATGCATGCAAGCCTCCAAATCTTGAGGATGCTGATACTGGTCAATGTCAAATGCCTCTTTTGTTGCACCTCACTAGTATACCTCAAAGGATGCGACAGGGTTGTTGTAAATTTTAAACGTTTCTCACCATAGCTGTAAAATCTAAATATGTTAAACTTAATAGATTGTCTGTCATTTGTTTTCTAACTAATTCGTTTTAGGACCAGGGTCCAGAAAAATTTCCAAAATTTACAACTTTTCAGTAACTCTCATTGAACTGGAAAAATTTCTGTCTTAATTACATCTAATATTACGAAGAAATCAGTCCCCTCTGTACTCGGCTAGAGATTGGTTCAGTTAAGCTTTAAAGTAAAATTCAAGCTCTTTTGGCAGGGTTTTATTTGCCCCCCTAATTCCCTAATCTCTTAATTATTTAACTACTAGTTTTTGTGCTCTGTTTTAGTCTTAAGATATTTCGTTAAATATTTGTCACGGGTAAGCGTTTTTTACATTGTTTATTACTTACAACGTGTGCTGTTGAATGCCATTGATTTTTTTCTTCAAAACAACCAATTTTTTGTGAGTTATCACTTTTTTTTTGGTTGAAGTCGCGTGGTCAACTTTGTTTGAATGTAACTAGGGATCCAAGTGGCTCCCGTTTTCACTGGTTGTCTTGTTTAATTTGGGACATTTTTCCGGTTACTTCACTATATTATTTATTAATTTTTGCCCACGGGTCCTCTTGGTAGGGCGACAGTTGTGTCCTTTATTTCAGGAACATCTGCGGGCATAACGGGCCTTTTTTTTTTTTTTTTTTGAGGGGCGCAGTCACTGTGGGTGGTAGCGCCTCATGACCGTCTCTTGTGGTACCTTACTTTTTATTTGTGTTATTTTATTAATGCTGCCATCGATGTCCGCATTTTCGTTTCACACAAAGGCCTTTGTTCTTCCACCTCGTGATGTGCTAGTCGATCGGCGTGTTTACAGCCGACTGGCAGGTAGTATTTTCGGTTGCACCGTTGCATTTTTCGGCAGAAGCTGCAGCCATCAGCGTTTGTTGTAGCTGATCAGCGTATCATATTTCCTCGGTGTGGTGTTAAATTTTTCGGTGTTCCTTGTAACTGTTCGGTGTACGAGTAGCCCTTCAGCGTATTGTTTAACCAATAAGCATTCTTCACTTTTCTTCTTATTTTTCACTCTTATTATGTCGGAACACGAGGCTCCTGGTATTTTAAGCTCACATGACGCAGCATTTGCTGTTCTTGATGAACTTAAAGGCTATATCGCCGATAATGAATGTGCCAAAATAGGAACCCAAAGGCATGCCGATTTCATCACTAGATGTGTGGAACGTGTGATCAACATTTTTACGGGATATTCGGATAACAACTCCATCCGTGAATTATCTAACAAAATCAATAAACTGATTAATAAAGACAACAATGAGGTTATTATTAACTCTCAAAAAGAAGTCTTAGGCAAACTCAATGAAATTGCTTCTATCACTGGATCACAACCTGCTAACTCATCTCTACCAACTTACAGTACTATTCTAAAATCCGGCATTGTAGCTCACTCGAAACAAGTGGCCAAGACTCCTCACTGTCAAAAGGATGTGCTGTTGGTATATGGCAGCGATGACAACTCAAACAGTGAAAACGTTCGCAACCTAATACAAAAGAAAATAAAGCCTTCTCAGTTACAAATCGGTGTGGAGAGAATCTGCAAAATCAGAGGGGGCGGTCTTGCAGTGGAACTAACTCGCAAAGATGACACCACCATTCTTGAGAAGTGTATAGCGAACAACCTACCTGAGCTTCTGACAAAAACACCCAAGAAACGAAACCCTCACATCGCTGTATACTCTGTGCCAACAGAACTAAAATGCAATGACCTTCCAAAATATATTTATGACCAAAATTCTATCATCAATGAAAGCTACTCAGAAAAAGAATTCAATGACCAGTTTAAAGTAAAATTCAATATCGAACACAAGGAGACACCATTTCACAGCTGAGTTGTGGAGGTATCTCCACAAATGAGAAAACATCTACTTATAACCAGGAAAGTTAACCTTGACTGGTCTCGGTGCAGGGTGGCCGATTTCTGCCCAGTCCTGCAATGCTTCTGGTGTTGCAGGTATGGGCACTCCGCAAAATTCTGTGAGCAGGAGACTGCCACGTGTAGCCAGTGCACTGGCAATCATACTTACAGAGAATGCTCAAACAAAAATGCTAAGCCCAGGTGCATCAATTGCCAACATGGGAAAAATATTACTACCAAGCACAATGCTAGGAATGGCTCTTGCTCAGCATTTCTACGAGTTAAAGACAACATAATTTCCCAAAGCGATTATGGATCTTAGACACAACAACAGTATTAGTTTCCTGCAAATAAATCTGGGAAGAGGCATTGCTGCTACCTCCCTCATCGCTTCTGTCACAAATACGACGTTATTATTATTATTCAGGCGCCATATTGCTTGCAGAATGAACCATCCTGTCTGCCCACTTATTGTACAATCCTCAAGGGCACCAACTCATATCCCTGGGCCATAAATGTTATCACGAATCCTGCCTTCTCGACTCTTCACCACAAAAGCTTATCCAACAAGTACCTAATTTGTAATGAGATCAAATACAACAACAGCACCTACATCATTATCAATATGTATTGTCCACGTGACATCAGCATGGAAAACACCGTCAACATGATCCAGAACATCCTAAATAAATTCAATAACGTCAAATTCATCCTTGCTGGGGACAAACACCCACTCACCGATGTGGGGAGGGGATCAAGAAGACCAGCGGGGGAAATCTTTGAAGAATTCATCACATCTAATGGACTTGTGCTACTTAACAACTCACTTTCTCCACCGACCTACATATCCAGTCAAGGAAAGACCTGGATCAATGTCACTGCCTGCAGCCAGGACTGTGCTGATGATCTGGAGAATTGGCATGTGTGCATAACAAAAGTTATGCACACATGCCAATTCTGTGCATACACCAGTGACCACACCTACATCTCATACCTATTGAAGAACATCAGCAGTAACATCACGTCCAACTCCACTGATCTGATCAATCACAGGTATAATCTGTCCATCGCTAACTGGGATGGCATTAAAAATTACCTTAATACCAACATGTTCGGCATGACTGACTGCAGTCACAACAGCACAGATAATATTAGGCACACCCTTGAGCACAACATCAACGAAATCGAAAACACCTGTGACAGATTTATTCCGAAAACACCCCAAGACGCAAATCTGTGCCTTGGTGGAACACACGACTCACCGACCTGTGTAGGACCAACAACATCCTCAGAAGATATCAAACTTGCAGAATTAAACCAACTTGCACCACCCTCAAGCAACAATACCACAATCACAAGACCCTGTACAAGAAGGAAATCAAAGAGGCAAAGATCAACTCCTGGCAGCAGTTTTGCACTGCTGCATCTACCAATCCCTGGGGTTACCTCACCAGGATGTGCACCAACAAGCTATGGAGGACACAAATCCTCGTCAACGAAGACACTGAACCCCCAACGACTGCATTATGAACACCTTGCATCAACACATGGACAACTTCTGTATTAGTGACAGCACTGACAATGACACACCTTGGCAGAGCTCTATTCGTGATACTGTGAACATCCCTATTAATACAGACAACTCCCCTGAATTCAACTACCACAAAATAGACAATGCTTTCAAAAAGCTAAAAGAGGGCAAAGCTTCTGGCATCGACGGCATTAACGCCAAGCTAGCAAAGAAAATCTGGAACCTCATTCCCCAGCAACTAACAGACATGTTTAACATCTGCCTGTACTCAGGTATCTTTTCCCACAAGTGGAAAACTGCTAAAATTGAGCCCGTACCAAAACCTGGCAGGCCAAAAGACCTCCGGCCAATCTCCTTGCTACCTATACTTGGTAAAGTTCTAGAACATCTCCTCACTGATCGTCTAATTTGGCATACTGAACACAATTCCTTACTTAACAGTACTCAGTTTGGCTTCAGGCCTCAACTCTCCACCAATGATGCCGTCAACTATGCTGTCCATTCCATCAAGAACTTGCTGGACAATTTTAAGTATGTTCTGGACATCAGCCTTGATATATCAAAGGCATTTGATAGTGCCTGGTGGCCATTCGTCCTTTACCACCTCAGGAGTGCTGCATGCCCTGCCAACATCTACAACCTCTTTAGATTATCTGTATGACCGCAAAGCTGTTCTACAGTATGGGACCTATCTTGTCGAATGAGAAGTAGAGTGTGGCTGCCAGCAGAGGTTGGTCTGTGGGCCGCTTCTGTGGAACTTAACCTTTAACGCTTTCCTACAAGAAGACTTCAGTCAGGATGCCACAACTGCCTACACTGACAATGCCCTTATCGTGATTGGAGGAAGATCCCGTGCAGTCTTGGAACAGCGTAGTAGCGAGATCCTTGACAGGATCTACCATTGAGGTACTCACCAATAAATTTACCAATAAAAGTACCTCTCTTTGTGCCATATGCAACCAGACAGACAACTCTGACCACCATTTATTCAGCTGTATCTCCCTTCAGACCAAAAGACATGCCATCAAAGTGACCGCCCAAAGCATGAACATCCATTGGCCCTGCCAACACAGTGACCATCTAAAAAATAAAATACTCTTCAAACTTTTCCATCAACTTGTAAAGAAACATGAGGCAATTGCCCCTCTTGCCACTAGCAACTAAACCATCTGTATATACTATATTGTATTGTAATATATATTTCAACTAAAAATGATGGAAATAAAGCCAAGTGTTTATTTATAACTCAAATGTGAGTTTGAAGTCCAATTAATACCTTATACTTACTTTACTGTCTCTTTTATGCTATTTGTATATACAGTAGTTCCCACTTGGCTATGCTTAGCAGTACCGAGTATGTATTGTACCAATAAGTTAATAAATAATAATAAATAATTAAGGCTGCGTACACACTAAGCGTTTTTAAACGCTCATTTTAAAGAACCAAGAGTTCTGCATAGGCATACACACTCAAACACGCGCTTTTGGCCAAGCGCGCGTCAAACACACGTTTATAGATTTTTCTTAAAATGAGCATTTTGTGGGCATCAGCCAAGCACTTCGAGATATATGTGCTGCCATGTTACTGTACATTCGATCGCGTGTTTTTGGGTAGAGTGGATGTACGTTGGCCGAGATGGAGAATGATCATTTCGATACTGATCTATTTATTGATGAAATCTAAAAGAGACCAACCATTGTCAAATGATTTTATAGATATTTTAAAAGAATTAAAAAACTTGGGTTTATTTTATCTTAGTTTTGGATACAACGTCGCAAACATTCCACGCGTCAGTCTATCTCGTAATATTGGGTGCACCCAAAATTCTCTTTGCCTCTGCCATCGTCTTTTATAGCGATGATGAAGGATGGGCACACGAGCAATTACTTTCATGTCCATTTCCAAACTGAGCCAGTGTGTAGCATACACACTGGCTCCACTAAACGATCGTCTAACGCCGAGCTAACGCGCGGTGTGTACGCTGCTAATGCGCATTTAACGCAACGCAAAACGCCTAGTGTGTACACAGCCTTATAGTTAATGAATGAATAGTTAATAAATAATAATGTAATGTAAAAATGTAATGCATTTAAATAGGAAAAAATAATTAAATAAAACATAATACAGTTTCAAAAAAAAAAAAATATTTAACTACTATTTAAGTAGAAATAAGTTGAAACCGGTTACTTTGTACTTGAATATTTGTAGTCATGGGAAAGAAGTGGAAAGACAAATTTTTGACAATAGATACATAAATCGTAAATTTAAGGAATATAAATTCTAGAGCTTTTTTTTGTATCTTGTGCATCTCATTCATTAAATTTAGTTGTAAATGATGTTGCCAAAGTAACAGTTCATTTTTTAACATTGTACAAAAATTGTACACATTTTTTTTTGCATCCCCTTATAGATGGGACATACTAAATCATAGTATTACTAGTTTAACATTGAAATCTGTAATACAAGATAGGAGAGCAGAATAAATGTATCAAATATTTTAATGGATTTTTTTAAATGCTTGTCAACTATACAGAACTATCATAAAAACATACCAGTAAATTCCTATTGATTGAATTAAGTTATAAATCTATTCACGATTCACATAATGGGGCAAGGGAGGCCAAATATCTAGCAGGCAGGTGGCTAACAGCCCAGAACCAGTCCTGAATAGAATCATTGAAAGCATTGTGTGTGTAGCTTCCACTGTGAGGTTGAAGCTCTGTAAAGTGCATGTGCGAATGCCTATAATCTGGCTGTTTTATACCATTCAAATATTTTCATCATATAAGCTGTCTCGTATTCAACAATACAGCACTTCCACTGGGAAAATCCATATATAAATTTATATTCAAATATATAACAGCAATCTTATCAAGCGAACAGGCTTTCGTTCGCTTGGAAATCTTTTTGCGATAAATTGGCATAGATCTATATAAAAGGCTTAATCAGGCTTAGGATGATTCTTGATAGATATTTTATTTGTTTATTTATTTTTATTATTATTTATTAAACACACAGAAATTCATATGTATCACTTTCGTTTATAACATGTTACATTTCAATTTTTTGCATAACCGTTTATTTGAAATTCGCTTACATAATTTTTTGAATTTCCCATTTTCAAATTAGAGAAATAACTGATGATGAACGCTTAATGTGTTTGAAAACGTTTTTATGTTATTAAAGAATTATGCTGTATAGTTGAATGGTTTTTATTTTTATTCAAATATAAATACATACTGTGCAATTATTTTCATATTTTCAAAAATACAAGGGAAGCGGCACTTCCACTGCTTCCTAGGACGGCACACTACTGCTGCTTAAACCATTTTATCCCAGTCAGTGCAAGCTTTATGACCCAGTGATTACTCACTTTGGGTTCAATTTTCTCAATGGTTTTTGGATCAGAGTACTGCTGATCCTCAGTTTTCAATCTGTATTTTATTTATGGATGATTGCTGCTTCATCAGAGAAGGAATTTTAATTATATTGCAAGTTATAACTATAATTAAAATTATATAATTTTAATTATATACAATATAATTGAAATTATACAGCAAGTTATAACTATAACTTGCAAAACAGCAATATTTAGGAAGAAAAAACTTGCATGACACATTTATACACTATCATCAAAAACACTTTGTAATCAGCATTGTGCAGGCATTGTATATAATTACATCATTGGGCCATACTTGTTACCCTCTCATCTGAATTCTCACATTTATCACATATTCTTGGAAGAAATATTCCCAGAAATATTTTGATGGAGGAAATCCCTAAATATCAGAAGACTGATGTGGTTTCAGCATGATGCTCATTCCTGTTCCGGCTCATTTCTCAAGACAAATAATTGCTGTGTGTGTACTTTTTTGGACTCTAAATTATAAAATTTCACAGAACTTTTGCACTAAAAACGTTTCTTTGCACTAAAATTTATGCAACTCAGTGGTCAGGACAATAAACTTCACAAGTAGTAAAGGAGACTGGAGGAATCAAGAACACAAGAATTTAGTTAATCTATATTATGAAGATCATTAGAGAAAACTTAGATCTTTTTATATCAATTGATATTGCAATCTGTTTGCTATCATATGACACAGGACATTAAAAAACTTTTTTATCCCAAAAAAATAAAACACTAGATAATTATGCAGTGTTCGGTATTCTGCCGTGGTGGGGAATAAAAACAATAATGACCCTAGGGCAAGAACAGACAGCTAAAAAATGGCCAAAATTTTGCAAATAAACAAATGAAATGTAATTTATTTAACAAATTCGTTAGAAATTGAAATACAGTAAATTCATCAATTAATAAATATAAAGAGAAATGAACACCTCATACATTAAATCACTACAATTTTAGTTGCCATAGGTATATTTACTCAGAAAAATAGTAAATATACCAAAAAGTGAATCCCAAGACAAATTTCAGTGCAAATAAACATTTTTAGTGCAAAAGTTCTGTGAAATTTTATAATTTAGAGTCCCAAAAAAGTACACACAGCAATTATTTGTCTTGAGAAATGAGCAGGAGCACCATCATGCTGAAACCACATCAGTCTTCTGCTATTTAGAGATTTCCTCCATCAAAATATTTCTGGGAATATTTCTTCCAAGAATATGTGATAAATGTGAAAATTCAGATGAGAGGGTAACAAGTATGGCCCAATGATGTAATTATCTACAATGCCTGCATGATGCTGATTACAAAGTGTTTTTGATGATAGTGTATAACGCTGTCTGTGGTTGCCTCAAATATCCTTGTTCGATTCTAATCAGCTTTGAAAAGAGAGGTGCTATCCCATCTGAATTTTGCAATATACATAGGTCATTTTGAACAAAGCTGAAAATGGTGAAAAAGTTAAATGTTCTGACATTAGTGTTGATGGTGAAGAAAGAAAGAGCAGCCATGGATCCTCTCATTCAGGTATGACTACAATAAAGATTTTCAGAGTATCATTCTACTTTACAAGTCACGAGGTTGTAGGGCATCAA